CTGGACCCCACGCGGCTCGAGGAAGAGCACGCCGCCGCCGGCCTCACTGTGGCGCTCATGCCGGTGCTCAATCAGGTGGCCGGGCTCCTGGGCAGCGGGGAGGGCGGCCCGACCGAGAGCTGGGCGGAGGCGGTGCGCCTGGGGCTCGAGGGCTGCCAGCGCCTCTACCCCGTGCTGCAGCAGTGCCTGGTGCGGGCAGCACGGCGGAGGGGCGCCGCCGCCCCGCCCTGAGCCAGAAGCCTGTGCAAGGACGGACGCCGAGGACCACAGTGTTGCCGCCGTCCCGGGAAGGACTGGGCCCGTTGGCCTCCAGGCTGCGCCGAGCTAAGAAGCCGGAGCCAGGTGGATCTAGGGCGGCGCGCCCAGGACTGATGTGGGTCAGCTGTGTTGGAACGACGTCTGCAGACTACGGGAACTTTGTTGCTTGAGGTGGTTGCCAGCTACGGGAGAAGCCTGTGAATGCAGCCTGGCTCCCAAGTTGGGAAGGACTTAAGTGAACTTCCTTGGAAAATGGGACCCGGGACCTGGAACTATTGTCTTGTAAGGGATGGACCCTCAGCAGTGACTCCCTCTGATGAAACTGGGCTACGTTTGAGAGAATGGACACTGAGGCTGTGCCTTCCTACTTACATCGGAGCTAAAACAACACAGAAACCCCTTTACCGTCTGACAAATATCTTATGTCGTGGTTCTTCCTGGTACAGGATTTGAGAGAGCAACGCCCTTCAGAGCTGGGCAGTGCCTTCTTGGATCCTTGCTGTCAAAGACTCCGATGAGCTGAAATACTGAAGCAGCTGCAGGGGTCGATGGGAGGAGGGGGGGAAGCTGTCCCCCGATACCAGAGTTAGGAGGAAGTTGAGGCTGGCAACAGGAGCGTTCTAGATGGGTCCCCAGCCCCCAGCGCAGTGCTGGCCCCATCAGAGCTCAGGTGGCAGCCAGATCCCACCCTTCCTTCGCGGGGCAGAGCTTGCACAGTCAGGTGGCCTCCACTGGGGGAGAAGTGGGGTCGGTCCAGCTTCACTGTCCTGGGAATGAGGCCCTGGGCAGTGTGGACAGGAAAGAGCAGGTGAACTGGGAGCCTCTGGATAGAGGGCAGGTGCATGGCTGTCCCATAGGGCAGAGCTGACCCGAAGACGACAGGGTGGGGCTTCCCTGTGTGGCTCTTGAGCCCTGTGGGTTTGTACTCAGGGCTGGACTCAAAGAAGCCAGGGAGCCGGGTTCTCCGCACCCCAAGTTTGGTGTGAGCTGTGTGTCTCCAGGACCTGCTTAACTCTAGGAGGGGCTGACCTGGGTCAGGATCAGGATGAGGTTCTGAGACTCACCAAAAACCCCTGACAAGAAGGAATACACTTTCTATTTTTTCTATCTGACATCATTTTCCCAAAGCAGATTTGAAATACAGTTGACTCTTGAACAGCACAGGTTTAAAAATCCACTTATATGTCAATAATTTCTCAGTAAATACAGTAAATATATAAAAGGAAGGTTTTTCTCAACACTTCCTTTCCTCTAGCTTAAAGTACACCAGATATTACACATATAACATGCACAGCAAGGGTAAACTGTTTATGTTACTGCGAAGGTCGACAGAGGGCTCGTAGGAATTGAGTTTTGTGGGAGATAACCAACGCAGATTTTCATCTGGGATGTCAGCCCTCCTGACCCCCTCATTCAAGGGTCACCTGTATCACACCAGCGAGACAAAACGCAGAAATGACATAGAGATAATACCTCTTCTGAAGGGTGGTTTTGTAGGGCAGACAGAGAGTCGAACCCTGTGTAGAAAGGGTT